ATCTATCTATCTATCTATCTATCTATCTATCTATCTATCTATCTATCTATTTAATATTGCTGCCTATTCGCCCATGGTGATTCAAGGCAGCTTACAGAATGTAAAATCATATTTAAAATAAAAAACAATAAAAACTAACGAAAAGAATCAACCTACAAAAAGAATCAATTAATAAAGTACAATAGAACAATATCTGGAAAAAATAAATAAAAAAATCACCCCCAATTCCCACCCCCTGCCCCAACGACAGCAGATCACGCGAGCTCCATTCTGCTCTGGGTTCCCCAGGCCCGCTGGCAGAACTTTCCGGAAGAGTATCAAGAGAGGGGGCCATTCTAATCTCTGGGGGGATGATGTTCCAAAAAAGGGAGCCACCACGGAGAAGGCCCTTCTTCTGGGTCCCATCAGGTGTATCTCCCTCAGGGATGGGACCCACAGCATTCCCTGCCTCCTTGCTCCAATGGGTTGGGTAGATGTGACTGGCAAGAGACGTTCCCTCAGGTAACCTAGCCTTTAAGCCATGAAGGGCTTTAAAGGTGACAAATTGCTGGGAGGCAAAAAAAATTTCTTCTTGTCTTCCTCCTCAAAAGCTAGGCGAGTTTTATACTTCGGAGAGTCTTATAGTCCGAAAAATACGTACACATGTTCAATTGAAACTTTCTCACCCTTCCCCAAAATACAGGTTTGTCCTCAACTTACAACAGTCCATTTAATGATCGGTCAAAATTACAACGGCATTGAAAAGAGTGACTTCTGACTGTTTTTTATATTTACGACCACTGCAACATCCCCTTGGTCATGTGGATCAAAATTCATATGCATGGCAAATGACTCATATTTATGACGGTTGCAATGTCCCAGGGCCATGTGAATACCATTTGCAACTTTTTACCAAGCAAATTCAACCTATTTTCACTCAACGACCATTTAATAATGTAACAACTGCAGTGACAAAACTCACTTACCAAATGTCTCATTTAGCCACTGAAATTTTGGACTCAATTGTGATCGTAAGTCGAGGACTACCTGTATTGTCTTATTTTCTTCTCAGTGCGTTGAGTGGAATTTCTCAGTGTGTTTGTCAATGTCTATTAATTAATTCATTTATTAATCTTCATTTAAATTCCACTGTTTTTCCAAAGAGTTCAAGACACCAGTCCCTTCTAAACCATCACAGTCAGTTTGTCTTCAAGATTTCTGCCAAAGGAGTTTAGGGTCCAAATCACTCAGGTAAGTTGAAATCTAGTGTTACTTGGCTCTCTAAGTAATTCCATCTTACAAACCTGTTTGTTATTTTACACCAAATTGTAAGTCTTCAATCCACAGTGATGCTATATAGAGAGCCACTTTGGCCTAGTGGTTAAAGCAACAGTCCGGAAAGTCGGAAACTGTGAATTCTAGTCCTGACTTAGGCATGAAAGTCTGTGATTCTCTCTCAGCCCAATTCACCTCACAGGGTGGTTGTTGTGAGGAAAACATAAGGAAGAAAGATTAGCTGCCACCTTGAGATATTTATAAAAATAATAAAGACAGGATTGATTGATGAAATAAACAGTATTATGTATCCCTCTCAGCTCTGAGCAATATACAGGTAGTCCTCGACGTAGGACCATAATTGAGCTAAACATTTCTGCTAAGTTAGTCAGTTGTTAAATGAGCGTTGTCCCATTTTACGACTTTTCTTGCCACAATTAAGTGAATCATTGCAAATTAGTAACAAGGTCGTTAAATGAATCGGGTTTCCCCATTGACTTTGCTTATCAGAAGTTGGCAAAAGGTGACTTCAAGACACTGCAACCATCATAACTATGATGAACCAGTTGCCAAGTGTCTGAATTTGTGTGTGTGTGGGGGGGGGAAACACTGAAAAATGTTATTTATGTCTGGTCCTTGCACTTATGACTGTAGCAGCAACCCCACGATCACGTGGTCAAAATTGGGGCGCTTGGTAAACTGGCATATATGTATGGTTGGGGTACCATGATTCCAATTTGTGCCCTTCCCAGATTGCTTCTGGCAAGCAAAGCCAACGGAGGGGAAGCCAGATTTGCTTAATGACCGTGTGATTCACTTAATAATCATGGCAAAAAAAGGTTTTAAAATTGGGTGTGATTTGATTAACAACCCTCTTGCTTAGTAACGGAATGCTGGTCTCAACTGCGATTGTAAGTTGAGGACTACCTGTAACTCCCAAAAGGAGCAGACTTATCATGCAATGGAATCCAGTTAATGCACAAATTATTTTTTGGGGGGGGTGGGGGGTGGGGATGGGGAGAGGCAAGGCAGAGATTTGCAAAGCAACTATTCAGGGTAATTAATACAAATAATATTTCCCCATTGCTTGCATTATGCTATTTTTGTTTTCTATTTTATCAGAGAATCTTAGGTAGAAACAATCTCATTGGAGAGGGCCTTGCAGGTCAATTTATAATTAGATATTTGGGAGATCAAGGCCAGCACTTTGTTTAAGCACAACTAGTCAAAAACTCCTAGGAAACTTTCTGGGTACAATAGAAGTGGGGAACTATTGGTGCTTTATGACTTGTGGACTTCAACTCCTGACTGGCTCAGGAATTCTGGGAGTTGTAGTCCACTAGTCATAAAGCATCCATAATTTCCCACTCTTGCAGTACAAGAAAAATATTGAATCCTGTTTGTCCCTCAACTTCCAAAATGCCAAAGGCAAACCGTGTCTTAGACATGAGAAAGTCCCCCTGTCCTCTGTTCCAACCAACCCTCCCCTTCCTCCAGAACGCTCCTTCGGTTCCCTTTCCAACTTGGACTGGCACGCCACTTCAGTCTTTCGTTTCTCCAGATACATCCCAGTCCTCATTCATTTCTCCCCAAAGTTTCCCCAATGCAAACGTATGAGACAGGAGCCCGTGTGCTTGGTTAACTGCATAAGCAAAAGCAGTTGAGTCAGCAGCGGTTATAGAAGAAATGCTGCTGGGAAAAAACAACCCTAAAGAACCGAGGTTGTTAAAACTCAATAGTGGAGCAATTATTAAAGCAATCTAGCTAAAAAAAAGAAAAAGAAAAAGATGTGACAAGGAGTTCCACCGATTCCACGATGAACCAGATGCTTCCTTCAGTTTCCTGTCTTTTGGTTTCTATTATATGCCAGCATATTTTCTGTCTCTCCCCTCCTCCCATCGCAAAATGCCTGGACAAGTGAATGAGAGGCACAGCCACTTGCTTCCTAAAACTCATTTATGATTGCTTACCTTTTTGAGGTGCTCATATCCACCGGCTCATCTCCCGTCTGAACTTCCACTCTGATGGTTGCTTTCATCTCCCCTCCTTTCAATAATCCTTGGACTTTACTAGATCCAGAGTCAGTCTTTAGCTTAAGGTCCCCCCCTTCGGAGTTGGCCTCTGGGCCCCCCAAAAGCCCCTTGTCCATTTTCATTTTTTTACAGTCCACGTCGTTTTGGGTGATTTCCCGTTCAAGTGCTCGCTTCTGACTTCGTGTCCTGCAAGCTTCCTCCGTCATTATGGTGCTCTGGAAAAGTAGCACAAAGAGGTGGGGGGGGAGTGGAGAGGGGAGGGAGAGAGAGAGAGAGAGAGAGAGAGAGAGAGAGAGAATGAGAATATATATATATATTTAATAAAGTTTTATTTGGGTTTTAACACATACAAAATACAAGTAAAACATCTTTTTTTGAAAATAGCATGGTCCCGGGTTGAACTTCTTTATACGGACACAAAGCTCAATTTCATGCTCTGAGAATGACAGTATATTAACAGGACACCAACCGGGTGCCGTATATTACCACATATAGGGCAAATCAAGTTGTTCACCTCCGATCCCTTATACTCACACTCCCCCTTCCCCCATCACATCCTTAAGTGGAAATCAAAATAATCAAAAGCCAAAACTGTTTGGGAGGGGGGAACAGGTGCAAGTCTGCCTAACTTCCCATAGGAAATCTGGAGCACTTCCTTCTGACAACGCAGCTTGTTTTGCCTATCATTTTAGAGACCCAATTTCCTTTAAAGTTTTATTTCTTGTGAAGTGTTCCAGAGTGAAAAAGTCCCTCCTATTTTAAGAGGGCCCGAGGGGGGTGGCTCCTTCCCCCCCTGCCCCATCAACTCTTCCTGGCTAAAAATGAGAAACTTTTAAGCTGATGCTGAAAATAAGGCACCTGATCCGGCAACGTCCTTAAAAACCAGGAGCTGGCTTACTCTTCCCATCCCAACAATTTTAAGTCTCGGAAAGTGCTCCGGGATTCTTAGGAATCAGGTGGGAATCGGGGAGGTGTTGAAGGGGAAAAGGGCTTTTAAAAAGTTTTGTTTGGGATTATGCACTGGGAGAGAGGCCTGCTTCTGACCAAGCCTCTCCAACCCTACCTGCAAGAAACACACATATCTGATGGGGGTGTGGGGAGGAGAGCTGAGTCAGTTTGTGATCCCATGACATCACTGGATCTACACATGACCCTTTCCCAGGATTCAGTCGGAGACACAAAGCACTTTCCAGAAAACCGGTCTGAACTGGTTCCAGACAACAAGCTAAGTGTCGTTAACCCTAGCGGAGACACCATCTTGCAGTGCTGGCGTGGTGCTGCTGCGGCATCTGCTGCAGCTGGCATTCCACAACAGAAGTCCTGGGGACCATCCCCTCGGCTCTTCTTAAAGGGGCAGCGTGCTTTGACACCAGCAAGGCAGCAATGGCTGCCCGGACACCAGTATTACCACTTCGCCAGGGAAAGCCACTTTTTTGGGGGGGGGGCTGGGGGGAAGTCCCTTTAAAAGATAAATAAATAAAAATAAAAGTAAGCTGAAAAGGGGAAAGAAGACTCCAACTCAGAATTAGGAGGAGGAAAGGGGCAGTGAGACTTTTTTGGAGGTGGGGGTGGGGAATTGTTGGCAAAGGCAGTGTAACTTTCTCAGTGCAACTGCGAGAAAAACCAGAGAAAGTCATAGGTGGTGGTGGTGGTGGGTGGGAGAAGCCTTGGAAAGTAAAAGAAGACATATTTCAGGAGAAAACATTCCAAAGCGAAGAAGGCAAGAAGGCTTTTACTTGCAAGACATTTCAGTTTTGAGTTTTCACTCCGTGCTACTCCTTGCTCCTCTTTGAATTCTATACATCCCACCCCCCCCAAAAAAAAAAACATCGTAAGGCCAACAACCTGCTGAAACAAAATCATCGTTTATTTTCTGTGCTACAACAATTCAGCAAAAGCATCCTGAGAGAATCTTGGTTTGGAGCTAACGTATTTTGAGGGCCTTTGAAGGTTTCAGACTGTGACACCCTGGAAATACAGAAAGTCTCTGCCCATTGACGATTTGACTTTCTGAGGAAAAATATGTGAGGAAAACCTACATTTCTTTAATTCTCCAATTATGGCATATGCTATTCATTAGCGCACAAGGGGCATAAACCATAATATGGCCACAAGAGTCTTGGGTTAGTCAGCGTGGACGTGCTTCACCCGAAGGGATATTGTACCGCTTTTTAGTTTGCAACTGCTACACAGGCCTAATAACCTCTCAGTTCATGTGTGACACATGTGGCAGCAGTTCAGATAAATAAAGGCTATTAGGAATTGGTAACAAATTGTTTCCCACCTGTCTTCCTCTCTGAACATTTGTCTGCAGAGCCCAATCTTGTCAAAACTGATTGGTATCTGGTTTCAGACAGATGGGGTTCTTCCGTAAATGTTTCCAGAAATAGTAAAGACTAAACCAAGATTTTGGGCAGGCAAAATCCAAATAATCAAACTAATAATTTGTGCATTGACAACATTTCCACCTGTCAATTACCAAGACTACATTGCTTGGATCTAAACATATAAACACCCTAATATATTTTGATATTCCAGTTTCTTAGAAAGAACTTGAGGCAAATGAAGGTCAATACCAGCTAAATAACTGGCAGCTGCTATTTTACATAGTTGGTTTATAATGACCTCTTAATTTTGAAGAACAAATGTACGGGGGAATCAATGGAAGCTGCCTCATTGGTCCACTATTTTCAGTATTATATTATTAGTAGCTGGATAACCGTGCTTCACTACGAACTATGTGATCGGGCTTAATTTTGGGGGAGGAAAATGGGGGGTGGGAATCTGCCTCTGCCTACCAACATCCATTGGTATTCATCTGGCTAGCGTCCTGTCAGTATGTGATAGAGTTGAGGGCTGTTTGGAAACTGAAACAGTATTTGCTATGTGAGCAAGGAGACAGCAAGGAGCCTGGGCGTGGCTTAGCTTAACTGTTCTGTACTAAAGCTGCTTGCTGCTGTGAAAGTAAAACTGAAACTCCTCTCCTCTGCTTGTGTTTTGTATTTGGAACAGATTTATTTTCAGGTGGGGAGGAGGAGTAGAACTCCTTAGCATCAGAGCATGCTAATAATAATATAGGAAATACTAATGCTCTGATAGTCGTTTTGAAAAATCCTTTCTTAGTGAGCACCTAGAAGCCAAGAGGAACATAGGTGGAAAATGTCAAGCTTGTAGGCTTTACGGTTCTGGAGATTTTGTGATGATGCGTGAGTGGTATTTTGCTTTTATATATGATGATGATGGAGGAGGAGGAAGAGGGGGAGGGGGAGGAGGAAAGGAAGGAAGGAAGGAGGGACGGAGGGAGGAAAGGAAGGAAGGAAGGAGGGAGGGAGGGAGGGAAGGAAGGAAGGAAGGAAGGAAGGAAGGAAGGAAGGATGGGTGGATGGATGTTGGGTTCATACACTACAAGACGAGTGTCCAATCTTGGCAACTTTAAGACATGTGGACTTCAATTATCAGAGCTGGCTGGGGAATTCTGGAAGTTTAAAGTCGCCAAGGTTGGACACCCCTGCACTACAATATTCTTGAGTCCCCAATGTGAAATGAAGATACAACAGAGACACATTTTAAGGCCTTTCTGGAAGGCCAAAAGAGTAGTGGCAGACCTCATAGTAGCCAGTTGTCCTGGAGCACAGGCACTATGGCAGAAAAGGCTTTCTCCTAGACTCTGCTAGCTGAAATTCCTTGGCGATGGGATCTGTAGCAAGTTCTTTCTGCTGAAGCAAGTGGAGCAGGTCAATGACACTGGGGCAAGCCAGTTCCCCAGAAAACCTGTTCCCAATGCCATGAAAGGCTTTAAAGGTCATAACCAACACCCCAAATTGGATCCAGCAAGCAAATGGCAACCAATGCAGCTTGCAAAAGACAAAACAAACTCCATAGGGTAATTAAGCATAATTGAACCACCCAGTCATTATCTGACTGCCCTGTCCAGAATCTCTCCCAAGCCCTAACTTAGAGATGGCCAAAAACTGAGTGTCAGAGTTTTACCTCCAAAGTTATGGTGCCTCGTTCCCATTTTGCATGAATACATTTGCTACTTAAGGATGACCGGGAAATGTTTGGATGTAGAGAGAACGATAGGAAACGCTCAAGACCCTGATGGAAGTTAGAGGCATGCAAGTTAGAGATAAGAGGGGGCGTGGGACCAACAAATAAAATTCAGAACAAAGATAAAGATGGTTCAACAGGGATCCAATTCTTGCTGAATTCCTAGCTAGTAAATCAATCAATTTGTTTTTAATTGGGGCATATTTTGCCCAGAGTAAGGAGCCTTTTACCAACAACAAGAAAGAGACTGCAAATAGCTCCTAACCACTGATTCTCCTTCTACCCTTCTTAAACCAGGGATCTCCAATCTTGGCAACTTTAAGACTTGTGGACTTCAACTCCCAGAATTCCTCAGCCAAGGTTGGAGACCCTGTTTTAAACCTCTATGTAGTAATGATACCCTAACTTAAGTTTTTACTTTGTACATCTCAGCTTCCAGCTTCCATTACACTAGAGTCAAAAAAGAAAGCTTCATCCCAATATAATGCTGTGTACCCAGTCTTAGTCCACATCCAATTTGGGGCAAAGAGAGTTTTCATATAGGAACAATATCCTTGAGACACAATTAAACCAGCAGGCTATAACCCTCCTCTTATATACCTGCTGCTTAGCAGGGTTCTTTATTTCCTTATTATAGTAATTTGTATACCACCTGCAAATGCTTCACCGTTCCCTGGGGGCCATAAGCCTGTGGACATCTCCTTTGTATGTTAGCAACCCACAACTTGATGCTTTTAATATAGTCTACTCTGACTCCCAGAATCCTTAGGCACAGCTGGCTATCAATTACAGATAGTCCTTCACTTCTGGCCACAATTCAGCCCAAAATTTCGGCTGCTAAGCAAGACAGTGGTCAAGTGAGCCTTGCTCAATTTTACAGTCTTCCTTGACACAGTTTTTAAGTGAATCACTGCAGTTGTTAATTTGGTAACATGATTGTTAAATGAGTCTGGCTTTCCCATTGACTTTGCTTGTCATAAGGTTGCAAGAGCTGATCACATGATCCCAGGACGCTGCAACCATTATAAATATCACATGACTACTGGGATGCTGCAACAGTCGTAGTATGAAAAATGGTTGTTACTTTTTTCAGGTCCACTGTAAATTCAAAACGTCCCTAAACATATCTTTGTAAGTCAAGGACTACCCGTACTGAAGCCCAGCT